TGGCTTCCATTTCAGAACTTGAAAGATGGATTATGATGCTGATGATCATGATGATCTATTCTTCTAGAAGCTTCCTCATTTGCACAGCCATGGCTATTTTGAACAAGGCTGGCCAGAAATGAGCTTGGAGCAGAACTGTACCTCGTTAATCCAGAATTCAGGTGGTGAATTGAATCCATTTCTGGGTTTCTCCTAAGCTCTCCTTCTGAGTAATTTAGAACACTGGGACTATAAAGAAACACTCATGTTCCTGAAAATTCACCATCAAAAAACAAAAGGGTATCTCATGATTCTTTCTCACACAGATTTGTTAATTAAACTGTCACCATAAAATCTTGGAGAAATTTTTATGACAGACAGATAAGCTGCAAATCTTAGACAGGGAAATTTACCTCGGAAACTACGAAAATCCCAGAAAGCTGTCTTCAAACTTGCAGAAAGAATGTGAATTTTATCTTCAATCCCGAAGACCTATAACCTGAAAGAGTGGCAGGAACAAGGTCAGCTCATAATCTTTCTGGAACTCTGCTGCTAAAAACAGAGTTCAGAACACAGCTTTCAGAACCAGACAAGATTTTTTTTTTCCTTCTTTTAAAAAAAATGTGTGCTAGAGAAAAAGGGCATACTTCTTATTATAATTCAGAGCTTGAAAGTCCAAAGTTATGATCTTTGAACGATTTGAGTCTGGATCTGAGCTCAAAATGCAGACAGAAACAACAGGAGGAGGATGAAGAGGAGGCTTGTTTTTTCGTTGTGCTCGCATTGCGGACATATTTATGGGGGGCGTTGTTTGGTAATCACCCTCGTATTTTCACATTATAACGATTATGCCATCACAAGATAATGTGGTCCATGGCTCCATGCTAACTTTCTGTTCTTTGCTTTCACGTTGACCAAACCAAGCAGACCAACCCCATTGATATTTGGTTTTCCACACTTAACTGAGATCTGAAAAATAATAAATTACAGATGAAAAATACTAACTTTTTATAGATTATGAGATCTGAAAAGTAGTTCATATCTCGTGAGTTTAGTCTAAAATCAATTTATTTCTTATAATTTTAAATTGAGCATTTTAATTATTATTTTTTTATATTTCAAGTCTTTGATTTAAGTACTTCAATATTGAGCAACATATTTTCCATTCATAATTTAATCGTTATTGTATATTAAGAGTTCAAACTCAAGACTCTAGTTGAAATTATTATAATGTGAATAATTTTATGATTAATCATTTATTTCATTATATCTTAAACTCCTTTAATGTATTGTTAAGAGCATTTATTAATTTTATTAAATATTTTTTAATTGTGGAAAGACTTGTTAGATGTAAGTATAATTGAAACATTTTCACGTAAAGCATAAAATATTAACTTGAATATCTTATAAATTTAACATTCCAAAATTTTCATTTAAGATATAATATATTACATGGATATAATTTCTTTGAAAATCCAATAAATAGAAGTTTCTGGTTATTTTTACTTTTTGAGACAATCATGATATGGAATTCTCCTTTATTAATATTTACTTTACGTCGCAAAAACACACAAACTTGGGATAAGATAGGAGATGCTTAGCTTAAGGGCAAAGCTACCCTTGTTTTATAGATGAAGGTTGAATGGTTGATTTTTGGACGTGGGAAATATATTGTAGCCATAACCATAAATACAATTATTTAATTATATAAATATTGTTAAAATAAAAAATATGGGCATAAAATATATTTAATGAATAACTATATTTCTTTTAGAAGCATAATTATATAACAATATAGCATAAACTACTTGCAAACCAAGTTTTCACTGCAATATATATGATATATCAATAATACAATTTTTTATTACTTTTATATAACATTTGGAATTGAATGCTAATAGTTTAATTCTTATGTAATACTCTCTCAAGTGCTATTTATAAAACATTTTTAATATATTTCACCATAATTAAATAAAACCTTAAACCTCATTAACTTTGTCATAAAATTTAATAAGTTTTTATCTTTATCCCTAATAAATATTTTTAAATTTCATTACTAATATTTTTATTCAAAGTATTTAATAAGAGCAAATATATAAAAAGGAGTATTAAGAATTAGCAAGTGCCTTATAAATAGGATTGGTTTTTTTTTTTTCCCTTTTCTCTACTCTATAAATATGACTAAAGGAGTATTTGTTATGTTAGTAAATATCCTGAATCTTAAACTTTTAGAACAAGCAATCCCATCAACTTGCAAATTACAAGCAAACTATTCCCATCATTTATTCATATAATGTTGATCATTATATAGCCCAACTAGCATGCGGCATGTAAGAGATTAGTGTCACATCAACCTTTGATTAGGCTCCATAAAGTCAAAAGTAACAGCCATTAACCATATTAATTAACAGGAATTTACTATTTGAGTAATATTTTAGAATTTAGGATGCTCATTAACCCATATTTGTTTCATCATTATATTGCCTTTAATAAAAAAAATTAATTTTTAATCAGTATTTTATGTACCAAACATAACCTATATTATAATTGTACGGATGTGTTCTTTGGTCACTCGAAGGGACAATATTTGTTTTATTCCATCACTGAAAATGTAATGTATTACCATATCTCAGCTAAACTAATATAAACCTCACTTTGTGAGACCGTTTTCATCAATGGCTATTTCATGGTACTTGACAATGTTTTTGACATTTTTATTTAACATAAATGTATATTTTATGACTCAAATTCAAAATTATAAGTTGAGACCCTAGGTGATAGTATTATTTTATATCTGAGATTCATGGCATAATCTTATCTAAGCCTTTTCTTTTTATTTACATCATACTTTTGTCAAGACATCACGCTGACTACATAAAGAACCTTTTTTTCCGTAAAAAAAAAAAAAAAAGCCTCTTTCCTAGTGCTTATCTTAAAATATTTCTCCCTGTGGTTTCAGGAAGATTTGGTGATTAAATTAGGAAATGTAAAGGTTGAAAACTAAATTAGTTAAAAGAAAAAAAGGATTTTATTCTCATAATGTGAAGCATGTGATATTTTTTAAAATCAAAACTTGAATGAGTAGAGTTTTTTGTTAGACTTAATAAAATCATGATACATTAATAATCCATTTTCATGTACAAACATATTGTAATTTTATTATCATTTCTATAACTGTCTAAATCATTTATATCTAATAGCCGTTAAAGTCTATATACAATATAAAAATTTCACAAACTGTATTATTAAAAACAATAAATAATGCAACTCATTATTCTTACTCCATTTAATGCATATAATACTGATTTCTTGTGAATAAAATATGCTATACAACCATTTCTCCCAAAAAAAAAAAAAATTTATGCTACACAAGCAAGGATAGGATTTGGAAAGAATCCTGATCATAGTTTTGATCCCTGTTTTTTTTTTAAAAAAATTATATACTACATGTTTGATTTATTTTTATTTTTATTTATAAATAAAATAAAATATTAAAATGAGAACAGTTTAAAATGTTTGAATAGTATTTTTTCATAAAGTAAACTTGTTATTACTATTTTAAATGAAAATAAATCCAAATTCCCAAATGAAGAAAAATAAATCCAAAATTTTCAAAATTATGTATAAAAATAAAATTATTTAAAAAAAAGATATGATGTGTTTACCGTTTATCCTTAGTTGCTAATCATTAATAAAAACATAGAATCTAGACAAATACAAAATGCAGGTCAAATTTTTCAGCTTTGCGTGAAAGTGAGAGAAGAATCAAGACAAAGCCTTGAAAAAAAAAAAAAAAGACAAAGTCTTTCAATGATTTTATTAAAAAAAAGTCTTTCAATGTCAATAATTTTATTTTACTTCTTTTCTTGAAAAAAAGAAAAACAAGAAGAAGAAGGAAGTCTAGACATGGGAATTGCTTTATGGGGAAAAAAAAAATCTCTGGTTTCAGAATATGACTTGTAGAGTGCTGTATCAACATCATGCAAAGGAATATCTATATTTATAATTATTTAAAAATTTTATGCATATAAAAGACACAAATCTAAATTAAGATAAAGGAAACCAGTGATGCAAGAAAAAGTCTGAAATCTAGTTAAGATAATAAATGATTCAATGGAATATGGATAAGAAGACAAAATATCTATGTCTCAATCAACGAGTCTTCAAGCCTCACCTTCCCCTTATACATATTTTTCATGTATATCCAAAACTTGCCATAAGTGCATTGAATCAACCTCTGATGAAAATATCAATTCTTTTTTAAAAAGACGTCCGTTCATTTTTTTTTAAATATAAATATGAAACTTCTATTTTCGGAAAAGATTTTTTCAACACATCTATATAATTTTTAATTTTAACTTTTATAGTAATCTCAAGTTCTCTATAATTTTTGTTCCATTCGAATCATCTCAAAATGGTTAATTTTCTATTTTTTTATGAGGGTGTGTGTGCATATCTTTTATTTCGTTTATGATTAATTAAAATCATTTTTATTTTTAAAATTTTAGTTAACAAGATCATACCCTTATCCTCTTTAACATAATCGTAAAAGTTAAAACTTAAATATTAATTAACGGAAATGTTTTGAGTAAATTCAGACAAAACAAGAAGAATAAATGTAAGAATATAGAAACAACGTCAACAAACAATTAAGAAAAAACGAATAGGTTTGGGTCAAAACCAGTTAATACTAATATTAAAATTAAAATTAAAATTAAAATTGAAATTAAAAATCCTAATAAAACCGCTAAAGAAACAGTTAAAGGTTTTGGAGGAGAAATGAATAAAGAAAGGAAACATGTGATTCTCGTGGAAGTTGGGACTGTCAAACAATATTGACATTTTATTAACTCTTTAATGTCGGCGCTTTCCTCCAGGGATTTGACAAAACAATCCAACCATGCATGGATTCATTCATTACTGTTCACTTTTGATTTTTGATTTCTGATTTGATTGTGTGAAACCCTGCGAACTGAGAACATAATTAAACAAAGTCTTCACTTCAAGATTTAAAAAAATTCAACCAAAAAAAAAAAAGAAGTCTTCTGTCAAATCATTGCTTCCGCAGAAAACAACGGTAAACCCTTAAAAATCACACCATTGCTTATTTAAAGTTTTAAACAAAAAAAATAAGAACATGTTGGTTGGGTTATGAGTTATTTATTATATGTTTAGTACATTGGAAAATATTTGTATAAGAAAAATAGATAATGTGCTTAGGAAGAAAATGATATAAATAAATTTCTCATTTTTTTTAAATTTCTTATTAGAAGATGTCTAACATTTGCTTTCAAGACTTCATATAACACGTGATCTATTGTTATTGAGTATAAACAGTGTGCCACATAAAAAATGAAAAAAAAGGATTAGAGGCATCTGTAAAAAAAAAAATCACTTAATTATCTTAATCTTTTGAGTTGATTTACAATATTTTGTCTTGAAAATTAGAAGGTTGGGTGAACATCACTAGTTTAATGAATAATTTAATATTTTAGACATTAATATTATATATAGACACATCTTGGTTTTAAAAGTATTTGCATTGGAGCTTGTATTTGAAATCTACAATCACTCAAACTTCAAGAGAAAATAATCAATTCATACTATTTAAAAAAATTGATTAAGAATAATAAATAACTGAAATTAAAAATATCATATTATTTTTATAATTAATTAAACACGTTTTTAGTAAATAAATATTAACTTTATGACAGGTAATTTAAATTTATAATTTTGCTCAATAGTATGGGATATCGTGATGA